AGGGATTCAAAAGATATGATAACAACAAAGTGTAAAGCTTCAAATTTGTGTAATTATTTACACATGATTTATTGCAATAATGAGCAATGTAATACCCTTGTAAAAGTATTTTAAACTGTATAAAAAATTGAAATCAATTGTGAAAATCCATTCCTTATATAGGACGGTCTCTCCTGTTCAACCAATCAACAAATTCTTTTTATTTTATAAAAAAAAATAAAAGAATCCAAGAAGGAATTACTGGGTAAGTGTTGTTTATCGTAAGAATGATGGTGGCAGTTATCGCCACCACTCGTCACTCTAGTTTTTTTGAAAAATTGGCATCATGGCACAAAAAGTTCAGCAACCAAGTGACTTATACTATAGTTAACCATTATAATATATATTGCTTCTTAATTTATTTCAATTTAGCGAGAAAACAGTAAGTAGTAAATCATTACAACGTTCGAATTTCAATCCTCAAAATTCATATTAATATTATTATATTGTAAAGAATACTTTCATAAATAAAATTGGCCAATTATCGACCATTGATCGGAGAACATTAAACACTGTAGATGAACAACTCATTATTTCAGCAAGTTACTATCTTGAAAGGATATTAAAAACCATATTAATAATAGTAGTAGCAGAAGTAATGGAAAATTTTTTTTTCTTAGTCAATTAATAATAATTAATATAGTGATTGGTTTTTCCTTAGTAGTAGTGATGTTTGCCGATAGAAAAATCTTAGCCGACTAAGAACTTATAAATCCCAGTTGATGAAAAACCGTTTCAGATGGCACCAAGCTTGTCAATATTATCATTACTACTACTATCGTTATTATTATTACTATTGTTTACTATTGTTATTATAATATCTTGCATTTAATGGTTCAAGTTATTTGTTTTATTCGTAATGAATTTGAGTATTCGAATTACATTGAGGTTTATTTAAATAAACCAAATAATTTGAATAAAATTGAGGTATATTACGAATAAATGAACAATAAGTCGAATGAACCAAATAAATTCGAAATAATAAAGTAAAGATTGATGTTTTGGTATTCATAGTTTGTAGTTAGGAACAAGATCGATTTTTAACCAGTGGATAATAATAATGATAATTTATTATTCAGTTGCAAGATAATACCTTATATTAATATATAGCCAGAAATTTTCTACGCTAGTAAAATGTTTTCAGATGATGACATTGTTATGAACTCCAATGTAAGTTCTCCTATATTTATTTAACAATATAATATTTTAATAAAATTCAGGAGATCTTTGATTTATAGCTTGTTTTGATGTTTCGCCTTTGCAGGCAGCAGCATAATGTAAAAGCCAGCATTCAATAAGTTCTATTTTTGAGATTGACTCTTGAGATATTTCACCATTATTAGCCGAATCCGCATGAAAAATCCTTGCAAGATGGTAATTTATTTTTTTCTTATTTCCAACCTTTT